GGAAAATTTGGTTCACAGTCATTGTCTAGGGGTCAGGGAATTGTTCAATGGATAACATCTTTAGCCAAAGCTTTATGGAAAATGAAAAAGAAAGGCTGGATGCCATGGGTCACTCCTATAATCCCAGCAATTTAGGAGGCTGAGGCAGATGGATCACCTGAGGTCAGGAATTCAAGACCAGCCTGGACAACATGGTGAAAACTCATCTCTACCAAAAATACAAAATATTAGCCAGGTGAGGTCTTGGGCACCTGTAATCCCAGCTACTCGGGAGGCTGAGGCAGGACAACTGCTTGAGCCTGGGGGTCAGGAGTTGCAGTGACCCGAGACTGCGCCACTGCAATCCAGCCTGGGAGGCAGCAAAACTGTCTGAAAAAATTTAAATTAAATTAAAAAGAAAATGAAAGGGAAATGTACAGAAATCCATTTCTATAGGACATTTTGATAAAAGTACTATAGGAAACACAGAGAAAAGAGCATTTATTTTGATGGGGTGGAGCAGAGGAGCTTCGTTGAGGAGAATTCAACATTAGCTGGAGTGTAATTTGGCCAGGTAGAAACAAAAAAACAGGGATCTCCCTGAAGTAAAAGCATAAAGTTCTGAATGTCAATTTTGTGTTCAAGGAAGTATCAGAAGTCTGACAGTGTTGGGCAAGGACACAGGGAGCACAATCAGATAGGGTAGTATAGGGCCAGGGTAGACAACTGAGGTTCCCTGCCTTTGGTAAATACTCTCCATGTTTGCATTAACCATTAAAAGTGGCATCTGTGGCTTTTACAGCTCGATAGATTATTCTTTTACTATTCTTAAACCTTAGCTTAAATTGAAAGTCAGACCCACAGTGCCTCACACACATAGCAGAAGATGTGAGCATCTTTCTGTGTGCAGTCAGTCTCGCTGGAGGGATACAGGTGCTTTTTGGTTTGTATTCCACAGGCTTTCAGACAAACTTAAGGTTTTCTTTCTGGTCTCCACATCCAGTGATTGATGAGAACTAGGGAAGAGGGCATCTGTTAGTGAAATTAGGCTCCCTGGGGCCACAGGTAGTCAAAATTTAGTCACTCAGCATAACAGAGATTCCCAGAGACAGCCTGAAGGTGCTGAAGGTGAAATAAATTGCCCCAGGGCAATAAGCCTCTTGAGCTGGAGCCAGGAAGTTGGGGAGCACCTGATTCAAAAGTCAGACAAGTGTGTTCTGTGTGGATCCTAATTAGGAGACCACCTTCATTAATGACCCCTTGAGACCTACTAACAGAATGGAAACAGCTGTGTCAGAACACCTCATGGTAGAAAAGGGCCTACATTTAATGGCAACTCCTGTGTGGTTTTGTTATTGAAGTTGGTTCTGTATATGCCTAGAATTATTAAGCATTTGAAAATCACATCTTAGTAGAAGAGATTGGAAAATATGACAGCAGAGTGAGGCATTAATTCCCAGAAGGAAAGCTGCCTCTCCTCTTGTTCCTAATTTCACAGCAGTGAGAAATGATGCAAGATTTTGGGCTCAGCTACAAAAAGGCAAATTCAGCACTCCCATGAAAGTATTCTTGGGTTATCCTGAGCTCTATCCACATTCCTTTTGTGAGTTTTCATTGTCGGTAGAAAAATCTGGGGCTAGGATTGAAAATTCTGTAACATCTAAAATGGCCCAGCATTGTGACTTGTGAGTGATGGCTCTAACTACTTCTCCAGGGTGAAATTCCCGCAAATCACTTATTGATGAATCAATTGCCCCAAATGCCAGTCACCATTACAAGATGTTACCAAGAGATATGCTAATTCCTCTCCAGAACGCTATTACTTTATGTCCATTGCTAATCGTGGGAGGAAAAGCTGTGCAAGTTTCTAAGATAAAAATTATCCAAAAGCTAGATATATAATAATCCTTGCCCTGTGAATTCCATTCTAACAGTCACTTGTGTTCATGGTAATAGAGTGAGAAGACCTATTCTAACATGCCAAAGAGAATTCCAAACCACATATATAAATATGAACTAAATATTATAAGCTATTTCCTAAATTTGTCAGTCACCTTTTGAAGCAGAATTAACACTTTTAGATCCCTGATGTTTGAATACAACATTGCAGCCTTAATTTAATGAAAAGAATTTGAGTAACCCCAATAAATGAATGTATCCTCCAAATTTATGTAAGAGTAGAGTTCTGCAATAGGAATGTTAAGTTGGTAATATCTGTCAATATAAGCAGTAACTCAAACCACTGTTATTTCCACAGGGAAATGACTCCCCGCATCATATTACTTGAGGGTTGTTTTCTTCAAAATTTTTTCTTTACTCTCCATCATAGCTGAGAACTAAAACATGGTATCCAAGAAGTTCTTACAAATAAAGATATCCTTGAGAGAGTTAACACAGTAAAGCATCAACATAATAGCTTAAATTTGCTATTTTCACCTTTGGGTTCCCTGTGGGTTCTTAACTATGTCCTTGTCTTCGTTACCAACTAAATGGTTGTATTTTTGTGTGTCTGTGTCTGTAGAGGCTAGGAGTGCCTCAAAGTCTGGGAATCTCCTTATTCATCCCCATATTCTCTTGTCCTTTCTTCCCATTAGCTCCCTAGTGTCTGGCAAAGTGCCAGGCAAATAGTGCTCAATAGATAGCTATTGAATAAAAGAATTTCTAATTAAATTTAACAATACAGCTAGGTGATTTAAAAATTCAGGGTGAAATTGCCAGAAAGTTATTTTCTTTCTATTATGGAAGAAATAAACTTTATTTTAAATTATTTTATTTAAAGCAAAATTAACTCTCAATAAATGTCCGCTGTAATGGAAGGGAAAGAATTGGAATGACCAAGCTGTAAAGACTCTATTTTAGCCACATGTGGTCCATCCTAACACTCTTCAACCATTTAACAATTCCCAAGTATCTCTATCATACACCTTCACTTCCATTGAACGTTTTCAGAAGAAAGACAAGCACTATATTCAGTATGTTGTTTTGTACTTTATCATGAAGGCCCTGAGTCAAGACATACTATTTTTCTTAGGCAGAATAATCATAGCTCTTCCTAAAAATCACAGAAGTAGAGCCAATGGGGCCTTTGAGCTATGATTATTTTGCTTGTAATTATCACAAGAAAAAAAATATTAAAATTTTACTGGGAAATTTCAGTGCATAGTCCAAGGCTTTCAAGATAAGCTTGGCACTTGTTACCACTATAGTCACATGAACTGCTTTGACGTATTTCTAAGTGAACCTACTACTGAGGTGGAGAGTGAAGGCAGAACAAGAATTATATTGCTGTATTTTTTCTTTTTTTTTTTTTTTTTTTTAGCTAAGATGGCTTTAACTCAATATGTTTAAACAATAAGGAAATGTGTTGGCATTGGCTAGATTTGCTGGAAGTGCAAAGGAAGGGCAGCTTTAAGGCTAGCATAACTTTGTGAACGGCCTCTAGTTTCTTATCTCTGGTTACACCACACGTTAGCCCCATCCTTAAGATGAAGTCAAGATGGCCACAATTCTTCTAGACCTCACATCTATATAGAACATTAACAGAGGAACAAAAAAGCTATTCTTAGCTGTGCTCTCTTGTAAGATGGAGAAAATATTTCCCAGAAGTTTTGCAAACTTCATCTCATACTTCACATGCTCACTCCTGAAACAAGCTCATACTTAGGGATATGCCAGTCCCTGAAACCAAGATTATTCTTCCAATCACATGACTTCTATACGAAGTGGGGGCATGAACTGGGAGTCAAGGAGACAATGGTCATTCCCAAACACCGTCATTGCACTAGGACTATACAGTACACTTTTAAAAACAACTCTGACGCTTTTAGCTAGAGATGAAACTTCTTTCTTTTGAACTCTGCCCAAAATGACAAAAAGGTTATAATGAAGGAGGGTTAAGAACCCTAAATCACATATTATAAAATATCTGTCAAACATTATGAAATTGGGGTCAACATAAAATAGGACATTGAAAGATAACATGTGCTTTGTCAGACCTCAGGCAAAATATAGATGAACTAAAATAAATGTCCCTGTCCAAAAAGGCACATGCAAGGATGTTGCAATTAGAAAAGCAATAGTTGGCTGTATGTCAGGCAGCAGGGGTGACTATAGGAAAGCAGGTAATGTGATTTGACAGAGGTTGATAGATGTAAGACCAGATCCAACAGGATCTCTGAATAGAATTTCTGAAGAATAGAACAGAAAACATGAAAAAGAGAAAAGTATTCAGCAATACAATAAAAGAAAACTCTCTGGAATAATTGATAGAATTGAATCTACAGGTTGAAAGAACTCAATTTTAACCCAGAAAAAAATGACACAGAATAATCAACACCAAGCTATAACCTGAAAAAAATTATAGATCTTCAAGAACAAAGAAAAACGTGGATCTTAAGTGCACCCACACATAGAAAAGTAAGTTTCCTAAAAAGCAGAAATAATCAGGTCTACCTCAGAGACTTCTCTTCAGTAACAATGCCATAAATAGTGCATGAGTGTCTACATACTTCTAAAGGAAAAGGAGTACACTCAAGAATTTGGTGAGGTTTTAAGGAAGTGGGACTTTTCTTTGGATTGAACAAGATTAGGAAGTAGTAATAATTTTGTGAATGGGTACCCTGGTAATTCCTGTCTGAAAGGTGAGAAAAATTAAGCACAACTGAAGTTATGATTGGTAGAGAATCAGTAATTACTCATATTATACAGAATATGGGGATGTTTGATTATTTTTTGTGGTTTGGACAATGTTGATTTTTTTGTCTGAAAATGGTTTACTATTAAATTATTTATGTTCAACAGGAAGACACCACAGTGTAGCTGCAAATGCCAGGTCAGCTCTTGGCCATCAGTGACTACCATCCTGTTACTCAATTTTCTGCAGTAGAAAGTTACTGTATTTGTCCATTTTCATGCTGCTGATAAAGACATACCTGAGACTGGACAATGTATAAAGAAAAAGACGTTTAATGGACTCACAGTTCCACGTGGCTGGGGAGGCCTCACAATCATGGTGGAAGGTGAAAGGCATTTCCTACATGGCAACAGGTGGGGGGGGGAGAGAGAGGGAGAGAGAGAAGGAAAGCCAACTGAAAGGGCTCTCCCCTTGTAAAATCATAAGACTGTGTGAGACTTACTACCATGAGAACGGTATGGGGGAAATTGCCCCCATGATTCAATTATCTCCCACCGGGTCCCTCCTACAACATGTGGGAATTATGGGAGCTACAAATCAAGATGAGATTTGGGTGGGGACACAGCCAAACTATATTTGTATGTGTCTTGGGAATTTTGGTATTCCTCAGGAAATCTTGAGCCTTGCACACCTAATTGATAATTAAAAGTTGCTATAATGTGCAAATTTAGTTCCAAGATTTCATTATGTTTCTGCTGTTCTAATTTTTTGAGTGTGAAGGTCTTGTGCTGAAACAGTAATAAAAATTATTTCAATAGTCATCATCATAACAATGGCCATTTATTGTGTCTAAGATGTACCAGGCAGCATTTTAGGTGCTCTATATTTGGATTCTTTATTACCTCTCTCTAAACCCAATGAGGTAGATATAATTACAGAAAATGAAAGAGAAGCTCTGAGACTGTACATAACTTCCTCAAAGTCACACACAAAAAGGTGGCAGAGACACAATACATTTTTACATCTCTCTAACCTCAAATCCCATATCATTTCTATTGATAATTGTTAATAAGGTTTCAGAAACCTATTATTTTTTATTATCAAAATAAAATAGAAAATGCTAAAAAGCAGCAGCGGTAGCAACAGTAAAATAGAAAGTAAGTTTTTATTTGAAAACTTTTGAGATTGCCTCCTTCCCCTTAAAAATGTAAGGTTTTTTTCAAACTTTTAGTGGATTATCTGATATTTGCATAATATTCTTCCTGTCATACTCTTGTTCTTTCAGTTGATCCCAACTAACTGGTTAAAAATGAGCTTCTGCTTGCTGCTTTCTAAAGAAGAATGGCTTAGAATGGATTCCTTTCTGTGCTTTGGAGAAACTTGTTACTGGTAGGTAAAACTTAGGTAATAAATTTCTCCATAGCAGGAACCCATCGATGATTATATAAACCGCAGATTACCTTAGAGAAAAAGTCATGACCTAGATAGCAACAGAAAGTCCTCCTCTTATGGTCCCTTCTGGTTCATGAGCTGATAAGCTAGGGAGGACAATGAAATATAGTGACATTTTTGGCTGACAGTTATTTTACATTTTCCTTTCTAGAGTTGCCCTTGAACTAAAATACTGCATGAAAGACACCACACTTCACTAATACAATTTCCCAAGAATCAGCTCACCAAGAAGGCTTTATCTTTTACAAAGTTTGCCCCAAGTTCTCAAAAAGGGCCATGACTACTAAAAGAGGTGTTGAGTCTTTAAAGTTATAACACTTTCCTATGCTTCCTTCTTTGAGTTATAAATCTCTGATTATCCTCTAGAATGTTGAAGAAATGGAAGAGGAGAGATGAGGGATTATATTCAATTAGGGTTTGGGGTAAAGAGGTAACCTTGTTCAGAGGTCTCAACCTTCCAGTGTCTGTTCAACCAAAGGTGAAGATGCTCCAGGCTGCAGAAGGAGATGATAGTAGTTTGACTCCGGTCAATGCCTGATGAGCCCCTTGGTTTGGACAGAGCAGGATAAGGAAAAGGGATGGGAGAAGAGCTATCTCAAGGTGGTGTGAACTACTCAGCAGGAATAAATAATTATTCATATGTATTTACTTGACCACTAGAGCTGATATTGATGTATAAAGATTTTTACAGAGGAGCAAAAGTTTTGGAATTTTCTTTTGTCAAGTTATTACCTAGTTGTCGCTTACCCCTCTGTGTTTCAATGAACCTAGAAGGAATGCTTGCAAGTTCCCCACTCCTGTCTGGCCCTTTGCTGACCCCTGTGCCTCCTCATAGTTGCTCCCTTCCTCTTACCCTTTTCCCAACTGTGGGCACAGATCTGTCTCCCAATTCTCCAAACACAGCTAAGACCAGACAACTGTATTAAACCAAATCTTACTTTTGGCTTAAGAATTGCAAAAGGGAGTTAAAATATAGAAAACTTTAAAAATTGGTACAAAGCTAGAATGTGCTCAAGGTCCCCAGGCCCTAGCAGGGTCCCATGTTAGTGTCTCCTTCCTTATGCCATGGTCTTCTTCTCAGGTGCCAGTGCCAGCCTGGCCTTGTCACCACTCCCCAGCCCAAGCCCTCAACCCCTCAGACGCTTCCTCTACTCCCGGGCTCAGAGCAGCTTCTGCTGGGATATGATTCCTCTCACAAGGAGACAGACTTGTGACTGAGTGTTAGAGCTCATCATCCTCACCACTGAAAAAAATTATTTTTTGCTTCATCCTTGCTTAACCAGAGATCTAAAATAGATGTTTTCCCAATACCAAAAAGGACAATTTTATCTTAAAGTGAACTCATATCATATCTCTACTTCTAATAGAAGTTTCGGACCCTTATCCCCAATTCTGTCAAAAACTACAGGAGGTCTAATCTTGGGCAAGTCACCCTGTTAAATGAGGTACAGACAATATATTGTTGACATTATCATATGTGTTATCATCTCTATTGACAAAACAAAAACCAGTTGATCTTGTCTCTCATATCAAAAAAAAAATTGTGGCTGTATTTCTTTCAATGTCCTCCTTTCTGGAAAGAAAATCTCCGTGGAGATCCCTTGAACCAGAATAATGTCAAATTTCTAACATCATTGTGGAATTAAAAAGGTAATAAGCAATTTAATAGCATAAAGGCACTTACTTTTTTTTCCTAGTGAAAACACTGATACACTTTAACCTATCCTTAGTCATGCAGTGGGAGGCTTTGCATATTCCCATTGACACAATGGGGAACCAGTGGTGTTTCCTCAGTGACAACAGAACCACCCGAAGCCATGGTCCTTTAAAATTTCCACCTAAACATTTTTGTAACCCAGCCCCATCTGATACCTCCATTTTGCCAGAAGCCTGTAAGTTATTAAGCAATTATATCTGTAACTCATGTTTCTTCACAAAATGAGCTTCTTCATGTAATAAGCTTGGAGCTGGGTTCTGCCAATTTCATTCAATGTGGCTGTTTAATGGTGATGTAAGTGACTTCTTGGCCATCTGTAGTTAAATTATTTTCTCATGCTCCTTGTTTCCATTTCCCTTGTTGAGAAGGTCATTTTCTTGTATTTACATGACTACTTTCACAAACTCCCTGGCCTTTCTCTGTAGGGTTTTGCACCCTGATTCAGTCTTTTACACAAGGTTACAGTCCCCTGACTAATCCCCATGGATTCTGTTTTTTTTTTTTTCTTTTCATATTGTCCAACCTTCACCCCACTCCCCTGGCTACTTCACACTGCTCATTATAGCTTTTCTGATAGCTGACAGAGTCATCATATTGGTCTGAAATTTGTCTATAGCAATATAGCAACTAGGGTTACGACCTTCAGACTTCTGGAGTAACCAGGAGATATTGCCCAATTTGCATTAAGATACTATAACATGGCTTCTGTTAGGTCTCCCCCCATTTTCAGCCTAGGAGGACAGGTGGCTGAATGATCTCATTAAGATCCATAGGTTTGCCTATTAAATTCTGCCTTCCCTTTTTATGACTATTTATGTTCAGGATTTCTAGTTAGTTTATTGCCATCTTATACATATCATGCTCATAAACTGGCGGTATGTGGGAAGAACACTGGACTTTTGGATGAGAAAAGCAAGTTGTTAAGTATCACTCAGCACTCACATAATAGTGTGAGGGTGATTTCTTTAACTTTCTCTAAGCCTCAGTTTCCTCATATTTAAAAGGAGGCTAATACTGACCTCATACAGATGTAAAGATTCAATGAGATAATGAGCCTGGCACCAAAACTTCTCAGCTCTGTTGATTATAAGTAACTCAAGGTCATCTCACATGGCATTAGAAAGGTTAGCTGAATGCTATCAACGCACTTTTAGAGAAAGGTTCAATATGTGTACCACAGCAACTGCATACACTTTTATTTGGAGAGAGAGTCTTGCTGTCACCCAGGCTGGAGTGCAGTGGTGAAATCTGCCTTCTGGGTTCAAGTGACTCTCGTGCCTCAGCCTCCCCAAATAGCTGGGATTACAGGCGTGCACCACCACACCTGACTAATTTTCGTAGTTTTAGCAGAGATAGGGTTTCACCATGTTGGCCAGGCTGGTCTTGAACTCCTGCCCTCAAGTGATCTGCCCACCTTGGCCTCCCAAAGTGATGGGATTACATGCATGAGCCGCCATGCCCAGCCTACACACTCTTGAGCCCTGTAGTTGGTAACTCTTTCAACATGTCTTAATGTACTGTTCAGAGTAGGTTCTTCTCTCCCAGCTTGTGCCACAACTTCCAATTATGTCTGATTCCAAAAGGCATCATCATCATTATAATTTGTGAAAATCATAATTTTTATACACTCACTATGTACCAGGTGCTGTGCTAGGTGCTCAAAGATTTTATTATGCAGTTTGAGTCCTCAAGGAGATTATATTTTAGGTAGAGAGATTATAAAAATGTAAAATAAATAACAAAGCAAAGGAATGTAAATTTAATCAAAGCAGATAAGTGTTGAAAATTGGAGGAAATAAAGATCCTTGTGGGGTTTTGTGAATGTGGCGCAGTGTTCTAGCTAATTCCTTCTCGCCTCCGCCTAACTCTCTCCCTACCTTTCACACAGAGCATTTCTTCTTCTTCCTTTCAGTAATAAAACTCTGATTGTAGCTAGACTTAGACTCCCAGGTACAGATTACATTTTCCAGCCTCCTTTGCAGCTAGGTGTGGTCATATGACTAGGTACTTTCCCAAGAGATGTGAGTGGTAAGTGATATGTGCAACTTCCATGTTATATTCTTCAAAGGAAGCTGCTTTGTTCTCAATTTTCTCTTTTGCCTTACTGCAGGCTGAAACGTGGACCTGTGCCTTTGCCCTTACTGAAGCTCTCATCATGTGAATGAGTAGATCTCCCAGAAGATCGCTGAATAATCTCATAGATAAGAGTGGACTACCCATCCCCAACTGCCTGCCTACCTCTATCACTATTTGGATAGGGTAAGGTTTTGAGTGTAGATAACCGGAGAACGGTGATACCACAGAGGAGGTAGTATAAAATTATATACAAAGAAAACCAGTTTTATATATGAGGTGATAGCAGTGCATCTATTAGGAAATATCCATCTAGCAGAAATGCAAAATTAAAGCTCTGGGGAGCTTCAGGTTGGAGATATACACACATGAGGCATCTGAAAGAAAAGCTGAAACCATGGGGAAAAGTATAACAGAGAGGTAAATGGAAAACAGGAAAACAGTGCTTTTGAAGGTCAAGGGAAGAGTTTTGACAAAATAGGGGTCACTCAACATGGGAATAGGTGAGAGGAAAGGTAACTATAGAAAGAGATTAAACTTGATTCTTAAGTTCATGTTCTCTTTATCTGTGTGTCCTCACATCTAGCTTTACTTAAAATCTTTTTTCCCCTAAAATCTGATCTTTTTTATTTCTCTGTGTTGCCAAGACACTCATCACATCCTGCCTTGATTTACACAAACTCCTTCTCACTGGCCTCTTTCTCATCAGTTTCCTACTCCAGTCTTTGCCAAATGTTACTGCCAAGTCCATTTTCCTTTCCTGCTGTTCAGACTATGTTTCTCCCACTCTGCTTTGGCTTCTCTTCACCTTCCAGCCTCCCCACAACTCTGCACCTGCTTACAACTCTTCCTCATCCTTCCTACAGCCCCATCCCACACCCCGCCTCCACTCCTTCCTCTGGACCTCTCATCTCCTCTGGCATCTTTAACCACCAAATTGAGGCACTCCAAGCTTCAGGCCAACACCCTACATTATCCCTCCCAGCAGATCTCCCAACTCATGCACATCAACACAGCTCCTATTTCTGCTGCAAAGAAACCCAGTGTATCTACTTCCTGTATGATGCTTGCTAGCTCAAATAACAGTATGCTGTGTGCTGCATTCTCCCAGGGTATGCAAAGCAGTATTGCTTGGACTGTATTCTTTCCTGTCCCCATTACCTCTAGGGCCTTGTATTGTTTGTTCTGGAACAACATGATTTCATTACTGTCGGATAATTTGTTTCTTGTAAAGTACTTACTGGTGTTACCTTGGGGTGCTACATAACAATACAAATCTCACAATGCCTCGCTGATGAGAGGGCCTAAACCCAACCAGTTTGTCCAAAAGTACCTTGAGTTTTTTTCTCAGTAGTTCATGGGGAAAAAAAACCCCGTATCTGTCAGGAAAAGGGAGAAAATTAATGTGCAGAAAGGAAGGTATGATGTTTCTATTGTTCTCAACAAATAACGTTCATGGGAAAAAAAAACCCATATATTTGAGTGAACCAGAAATTCAATGAGCATTATAGATAAAATAATGTAAAAACTCCTTTCTAGGTATGGAAGATATGTCTTCAAGGACATATCTTACTGTTATCACAGAAAGCAATTATTTGCCTTGCTACCTCCAAAACTTTGCTCATGCCAGTTTCATTTAGCATATATATAATATAATTCATTTTAGAGAAAATACTCACTATAAAACTCAAATAACTAAGATGTATAAGTATATAGGCAAGTATGGAGAAAAAAACATATATATACATCTCTAAGAGCATGATTAAAATAATTGTTGCTTAATGCTAAATTTTCTTCTCAACAAGAAAAAAATTTGAATACTTATCATTAATTTAAATGTACTTGGTATTTTCACATAATGCAGAAACTGAATAATAAAGTTTTGCATTTATTTTAAATGATAAAAAAAATCCCTTGAAATTCAGCATAGAGATTTCATTTTCAATAAGAATCAGAAAACTGTCAAAGACAAACTGTTTTCCATCATACAAATGACTTGATCACAGATAATAAAATTGCACAAACCTCAAAGCCTAAATAACCATGTAAATGGGTTCTATGATTTTTGAGACAGATGGTGAATCACAACAGTGATGGGTTATGAATTCCAAAAAGATTGTCCTTCAGAATATAACAAAAAATGACTGAGGAAGATTTAAAATATAGTTAAAGTAAAACCAAAATAGAAAAATCACATCAATTTTTAAAAGATCAAGAACACAGAAACAGAGAACATATAGATTACATTAGAACCACTCTACAAATAAAATCATTTTAAATTGAAACATTATGCTTATGTTAACAGAAGGAAATTGGAATGTATTTCAACAAGATGAGTAATGTTATCTGCTTCATTCCACATCGTGTCCAAGATTGTAGAAATTGCAGCCTACTATGTCTGTCAACCTGCTTATCACTTGCTGCTGGCCCAGAGATATGCCCAGCAACCATGGTCACTGTTGGGAACTCTTAATCTCCTTATCTAGTTCTTAGCTGCATAACATGAGACTGAATTAGGAGCCATTATGGAAGACAATTAAATTCTCTTTAATAAGATCTTGCATTTCCAGTACCACTCAAAGGAACCCGGGTTAGATTAAATCACAGACAACTATATCTAGGTAAGGAATGATAGTCATCATTTGTCAATTTGGGCCAACAATAAATGAGCTCTAAGAAGACATAAGCAAATATGGTGGAGCAAAATAAAGTGCTAACTTCAGCAGTGACTCCTGGTTATGTATTCTTGGGCCATTTCAGTATATTATTTTGTATATCTATATTAACTAATAATATATACGATAAAATACATAGCATGTGTAATTAAATATCCATAATATCACTTGTTCCTGCTTACATCCCCAGCCTCATCTCTCAACATTCTTTTCTCCTTTCTCTATTCTTTTCTCCTTTCTCTATTCTTCAGCTCTGCTGCCATTCTCTCAGGATGCATCCTGCTTCTTCCTGACTCAAGAACTTTATACCTGTTCTTTCCTCTACCTAGGCCCTTCTCCCCTTTAGCCAAGGTAGTTCCTATTTAGGCTTTAAGTCCCCTTTAAATGTCATTTTCCCTACCACTGCTTCACAGAAACTTGTAGGGTTTCTTCAATGTATTCACCCTAGTTCTGGTTAGTTGTAATGTCTGCCTTAAGTAAATGATAAACTCGAAGACAAGAGAGCTTCTACCTCTCCTTTTTGTTTTGTTTTGTTTTTTCTCCACAAACTATATTTCCAGTGCTTAATGAATAAGCTCTTGAATAGCTCTGTCAGTGTTTGTTGAATGAATGGATAAATGAAGGATTCTGTTGGTGGGCAAGGTGTCACTCAGAACATTTCATACAATCTTGCTGTTGCACATGCAGAGAAAAATAACTTGGTGCCCAAAAATAAGGCCTCTTTTTGATATATTATTGCTTGTCTTTACTTACCTTCTGTATCCAGATGAAAACTTCAAAATTTTCCCTGAAGAATATTTTGGTGACCAAGAAAATTAACCACGAAAAATTCCAGCCTGGAATTTAGGTGAAAATAGGAGCTAGAAGATTCCTCTCATCTAATATTCCTGGAGAGGGAAGTGACTGGCCCCACTGACGTTTAGTGGTAGGCAATGGAAACTCAAAGACTGTAGCAAGAAGGGATTCACCCCACCACCCCACAGACTCTAATCAAGTGGCAAATGACAGCAGGACTTAATGAGACTGCAGTGATTTCAAGAAGACCTAGAGCATATTATATTATAATCTACTTTACAAATAAGGCTGGCTGATTAATCTGGAGTTGTCATAGCACTTAAGAGAGAAGCCCTTAGTCTTGGAAGTAATTGGTTTCAGAAGGGCCATCGAGGTGGGTCTGCAACAGTAGAAGGTCTAGGTGACACCCAGAGATGAAACATTACTACTGTCAAAGTGTATTGCTGATTTGCTGTGTGTTAAACATTCAGAAATACAAGTTTCCTGAACCCTAGCTCCTCATGGGCAAACCCATCAGGAACAGTCCTCAAAAGTGCATTTCTGAGTTGGTACAGTACTCATATTCATTTATGATTTCATTTTTGTTTCACAGACCACCAATAAATTTGGGAAATAATGCATCTACATATCCCTTCTTGGACAGTCACAATGTATATAACACATTGATGACTTTGAGAATTCCTGCACTAAAGAAGGTTATTCAACTCATTTGACTACTAATACTTCTTATTCATAAAAAAACTTATTTGTCAATAAAGATAGTCTCAACAAGGCTGATGTATTAAAAAACCTCTAAGTCTCAGTGGCTTAAAAGAGCAAGGTTTATTTATCACTCATGCAATATATCCATTGTGGTTGACTAGAAATCCTATGCCACATAGTCTTTACTCTGATATCCAAAATATCAGAGCTACCATCATCTGAGCATTTTTTGTTGCTCTGGCAGAGAGAAGGTGAGCTCTGGGTGTTTTAACAATTAAATATTGCAGCCTGAAAGTGACTCGTAACTGTGGAATTTTGGCTCATAACTCACTGGCCAGAACTAGTCACATGGCCTCACTCAACCATGAGAGGCTGAGAAAGTACTATCCTACCATGTGTCTAAAAGGTAGACAGCCAGAAATATTTAGAGGATGGCACTAATGACAACCAAACCAGTTAACCTGACTAAACACTAATGTTCATTAAAGTATAGCTTGAACCCACTGGTGTTCATGGTTTTAAAAACAAGGATTGGGGATTTCCAGTTTTAAAATGACAGTACAGAATCAAGCTGGCTTCACTCCATCCCACTTCCACCCACTCTCTCCCACTCCCTCCCTCCCTCCCCAAAACAGATATACAGCACTGAAATTTTCACTATCAACAACCCAGAACTCAAATATGAGAATGAAATAGTTCCCAAGGCCACAGGGAAGTGTAAAAATTCTGAGCAGATGGTAAGAGAAGTAGACTTCCACATCTGTGATGCCTTTCCTTCCCTATTCTTTCTGGCAACAAGTACATGGAAAATCTTCTCCGTGTAGAAACTCATCATTTCTACACTGGAAAAAATGAAACTGAGGCGGTAAACTAACTTTTCTACTATCTTGGTTTCCCTGGAAGGAAACTGTTCTTGCTTTAACCCACAGAAACTATTGTGACTGCCTGAAAAAGGAAATAACCCTGAGGAGAGACAGAGACAAAGTAGGTAGGTGGGATCCCCAGCCCTGGAAACTGCTCTGTAAGTTGGTCAAAGGAGATGTCAAATCAGAGTGGCTGTTCAGCAGCACCATGCTGCAGGAAGTATGTTCCACAGGTCCCTTGGGCACAAACCCCTAGCCAGTCTTCCCATACCTGCAGGATAATATCTTTGGGATCTTATCCCATTTGGGTTAGGCAGCACTCCCACCATTTACTAGAGGAAGACAAACCTGGGCTTAAGATGGCATCTGGAGCCAAAAAGGAGTTAGCAACTTAGCGGTAATGATTTGTTAAGCAAATATATATATATATATATATATATATATATATATATATATATATATTGAAGCCAGGAAGAGAAAATGGAAATAATTAATACTTCAATGCAAAGAAATAAATAAATACCTACTAGAAACAGCACCAAATAGGGAACCATGACCTCCTCAGAAGGACAAAGCAAAATCCAGTGACTAAGCCTGATTAGATGATGATTTGTGAGCTCTCCAACCAAGAATTCAAAATAGCCATTTTAAAGAAACTCACAGATCTCCAAGATAACATAGAAGAACAACTCAGAAATTTATCTGAGAAATCTAACAGAGATTGAAGTGATTTAAAAAATTAAACACAAATCTTGGAACTGAGAAATACATTTACTGAATTGAAGAACTCATTAAAGGCTCTCAACAGCAGAATAGACCAAACAGAGGAAAGAATCAGTGAGCTCAAAGACAAAGTATTTGAAAACACAGTCAGAGGAGAAAAAAAAGAAAACAGAAAAAGAAAACCCACAAAAACCTATAAGATACAGAAAATTACCTTAAAAGACCAAATCTAAGAATTTTTGGTGTTCAAGGAGGAGCTAAGCAAGAGGAAGAGGTAGAAACCTTATTCAAAGGAATAACTGAAACCTTTCCAAAACATGAGAAAGATATAAATATCCAGGTACAGGAAGGTTTGAGAACACCAAACAGATTCAACCCAAATAAGACTACACCAAGGTATATAATAATCAAACTCAAAGGTCAGAGACAAAGAGAAAATCCCAAAGGCAGCAAGAGAAAGCAAATAAGATACAACAGAGTTCCAATTCATCTGGCAACCAACTTCTCAATAGAAACCACATAGGCCAAGAGGAAGTGGAATAACATTTTTAAAGTACTTAAGGAAGAAAAAATGCCATCTAGAATACTACATCCAGAAAAATTACCCTTCAAATATGAGAGATAAAGTCTTTCTCAGACAAACAAAAGCTGAGAGAATTCAGCACCACAAGAACAATTTTTCAAGAAGTACTAAAGAGTGTCTTTAATCTGAAAGAAAAAGCCATTAACGTGCAAAAGGAAAACTTTTCAAGCTATAAAACCCACTGCTAAAATTAAATACACAGACAAACCCAGAATTTGCTTTAACTTTGGTGTACAATCAATTCAAACTCTAGTACGAAGCCCAAAATACAAATCTATCAAAAACAATGATAGCTACAGCAACCTGTTAAGAGATAGATAATACAAAAATATGTAAATTGAGACAACTAAAAGTCCAAATGTCAGGGGAGTTGAGTTAAAATGTAGATTTTTGGGCTGGTGTGGTGGCACATGACTGTAATCCCAGCACTTTGGGAGGCCAAGGCGGGTAGATCATGAGGTCAAGAGATAGATGATCCTGGCCAACATGGTGAAACCCCGTCTCTACTAAAAACACAAAAATTAGCTGGGCATGTGGCACATGCCTGTAGTCCTAGCTACTCACGAGGCTGAGACAGAAGAATCGCTTGAACCCAGGAGGCAGAGGTTGCAGTGAGCTGAGATTGCACCACTGCACTCCAGCCTGGTGACAGAGCGAGATTCTGTCTTAAAAAAAAAAAAAAGTAGATTTTTTTTTGTGTGTGTTCCTTTTTGACCTTTGTTTCTATTCTTTAATTTGTGATAAGTCATCAACTCTTTTAAAGTAACTTGCTATATCTATAAAATGTTTTTTCTAACCTTTATGGTAACCACAGTGCAAAAACCTATAATAGATTCACTAAAAATAAAAACAACTGATCAAAACATACTATCAGAGAAAATCACTTAACCACAAAAGAAGATAGTAAGAAAGGAATAAATGAAGGGAGGTCTGATAACAACCAGAAATCAGGCAACACATTGACATTAGTAAGTCCTTAATTATCAATAATAAAACAGAATGTAAATGGTCTCAATTCTCCAAGTAAAAAGCATAGAGTGGCTAAATGGATAAAGAAACAAGACCCAATTATATGCTGCCTTCAAGAAACCCACTTCACCTATAAAGACAGACTGAAAGTGAGGGGTGGAAAAAAATATTCCACGCAACTGGAAATCAAAATAGAGCAGGGATAGCTAGGCTTATATCACATAGACTACAAATTTAAGATTATAAAAAGAGACAAAGGAGGTCACTATATAATGATAAAGGAGTCTATTAAGCAAGAAGATATAACAATTATAAATATCTATGCACTCAGCACTGGAGCTCCCAAATATTTAACACAAACATTAATAGAGAGATATATACTGAAATACAATAGTAGTAGGGGACTTTAAAAACCCACTCTCAACAATGGACAGCTCATCCAGACAGAAAATCAACAAAAAAAACAGAGGAGTTAAACTACATACTAGATCTAATAAGCCTAGCTGACATTTACAGAACATTTTACCCAACTGCAGCAGAATATGCATGCTTTAGCATATGAACATTCTCCACAACAGACCATATCTTATGCCACAAAACTCATTTGAATAAAATTTAAGAATCCAGAAATCATATCAAGTATCTTTTCTCACCACAATGGAATAAAACTAGAAATCAATAACAAGAGGCAACTCAGATAATACACAAACATTGCAAATGAAACAACATCCTTCTGAACCACCAATGGGTCAGTGGAGAAATTAAGAAAGAAATTTCAAAATTTCTTGAAACACATGAAAATGGAAAGATAACATATCATAATTTATGGGTTAAAGCAAAAGCAGTACTAAGAGGGAAGTTATAGCAATAAACGTCTATATCAAAAAAGCAGAGAGACTACAAATGACCTAATGATGCACTTCGAAGAACTAAAAAAGCAAGAACAAACTAAACTCATTAGTAGAAGGAAAGACATAATAAATATCAGAGCAGAAATAAATGAAATTGAAATTGAAAAAATTACAGAAGACCAACAAAACAAAAAGTTAGTTTCTTGAAAACGTAAACAAAATTGACAAACCTTTAGCTAGACTAAGAATAAGAGGGAAGAACCAAATAAATTAAATCAGAAACCAGAAAGAAGATATAATGAGATCTCAGAAATATAATGAGATCTCAGAAATATAATGAATCATTAGAGACTATTAGGAACAAGAATACAACAACAGATTGGAAAATATAGAAGAAATAGATAAATTCCTTGATACATGCAATCTACCAAGATTAAACACCATGAAAAAATACAAAACCTTGACAAACCAATAATAAGTAACAAGATCAAAGCCATAATAAAAAGTCTCCCATCAAAGAAATGCTCAGGGGGAGAAAAATCCAAGATAAGACTCACTGGCTTGGAATTCCAGCCAGCTACCATTAAAGGCATTCCACCTCCCTAAGAAGGAGCTCCCAGAGGGAGGGGCAGGCCATATCCTTGCTGTTTAGGTGCTTTAGCCATTCCAGCCTTCAGGCTTTTGAGAGTCTGAATTGACCCATGGTGGAAGGGACACCCCAGCACAACACAGCTGTTCTACCAAAATGTAACAACTGCTGCTTTAAGCCAGTACCTGATCCCATTCCTCCTCACTGGGTAGACCCTCCCAACCAAGACCTCCAGCCACCCCTACCCAAGCTCTCTAGCTGACAGAGATCTCAATTCCCCCTGGGATAGCTCTCCCAAAGGGAGGGGCAGGCTGCCATCTTTGCTGTTATGGTGACTTAGCTGTTCCAGCATTCAGGCTTTGGACAGTCTAGGGCAACCCAGGGTGGAAGGAATCCTCCAGCACAGTACAGCTGCTCTAGCTAAATGTGGCCACACTGCTGCTTTAAGCAGGTACCTAATTCTGTTCCTCCTCACCAGGCAGGACCTCCCAACCTGGGCCTCCAGTCACCTCTGCCCATGTTCTCCAACCAACAGAGATGTGAATTTCCTCTGGGATGATGCTCCCAGAGGGAGGAGCAGTCTGCCATCTTTGCTGTTAGGGTGACTTGGCCATTTCAGCTAAGTCTATTTATTTAGATAAATCCCATAATTTGGTCTTTGGAGTGTTTGAGGTGAACAGAGGCAGAAGTGGACCCTCAGTACAGCACAGCTGCTCTACCAAAACGTGGCCCAGACTGCTTTTTTCCTGATCCCATTCCTTCTCACGAGGCTGGAACTCCCAACTGGAGTCTCCAGTAATTTCCTACAGATGCCTTTGGGCAGGCAACAGATCCATGACGCCCTGGGACAAAGTTCCCAGAGAGAGAGGCAGGCTGCTATTTTTGCTGTTTCACAGCCTTCACTGGTGACACCTCCAGGTTCCAGAAAATATGAAGTGACTAGGGACTGCAGTGGTCCCCTAGCATACCACAGCAGCCCTATTGAAAGGTGGCCAGACTGTTATGTGGGTGCCTGTTCCTGTATCTCCTCACTGGATAGGTCCTCCAGGCCTGGGTCTCAAGCTATCACCCACCTCCCCACAACCAGAGCTATGGAGCCACTCCCCAGACAGAGCAACTCCCTGGACAGAACCTCCTGTTCTGTCCAGGGCAACTAAAAATTATTCTTTTGGAAAATTTTATAAAAACAATTTTTTTCACTTAAAGTCCTCAGTGAGTTTCCTACAATAGATAACGAAATCATTTTCCAGCCAATTCCTAATTGCTTTCCCTCAAATATAAATGCTATATAAAAGAAAACATGAATAATTCTACAACACAGCCTATTTTTTGGCTACTAGAGGGAGGTATACCATAAATGCTCATTTACAATGTCTTCTGCACACATGTGCAAAGAGTTAATGTATCATCAGATAAATCCCATAATAATAGAAATAAAATTGTCATAGAATTCATATAAACATTAAAATATATATATATTATGCTACCATAATAACATCTGAAAATTAATTTCTGATGAAGTCTACTGAATCAAATTAATGTCTTGGTAACTTATCTGATAGTTTGCCATAACTGTATCACATAACGACACGGCACAAAAAGGCAGTAATAATGTTCAAATATAAGTACTTTGGTTCTGAGATGTTACCTGTATACCAAGAACAATGAAGGTACTTATCAGTGGTCATTCAAAAGCCTTTAACTCACTGCTTCTCTGAGAAATATATGACATGTTAAATTCATGTCATTTCCTCAGGCACCTCCAAGTTCCTCTCCAGTTCTTCCTTACATATATCCTACATACAATCATATTTAAGTCACCTAATACATGGAAAATGCTTTTGGCAATGCTTAGCACATAGTAGTCACTAAGTATTTATTGTTATCATTATCATTGTTACTTCATGTCTTACAAACTTTGTATGTCACATGCCCTGCAGAGATTCTAAAGTGTGATTTGCTTTAGCAAGTTCAACCCAGTGAGAGAAAGTCTAATATGTAAAGCATTTCTATATTACATTGTTCTTATTTAGGACAAAACAGACAAATCACCTAAGGAGTTATCAAAGTGATAAAAAATGACCTTAAAAGATTTGTTGGGGTTACCTTTAGATAATATCTCTAAGCTATTACCTGAAATAAGCGTTGGGAACAAATTAAAAGTAATATTTGATAACTGATAAAACAGTCCTATCCTCACACTGCATTTCCTTCACACTGTGGCAATCCATTGTAACATTATTAAAGTATTTCAATATATATTTTATTTTTATAATAACGAATCTAATATTCTGTAATATCCTTTGGTTTGTTATATATCATTCATACATCACTCATTCCATTCACTTAAAGCATCATCTTCACCAGGCATTTCTGTTGGTGATTGGTCAAGAGAAGTTGAATCTTTGTATCTCACAGAACTCTGCTCGGATTGTACCTCAGGCGTTAAGATTTTTGCCCCCCAGAAAGACTTGACTGCTTCCCTGGAAGAAGAAACAAAAACCAAAAGCACTATATGAAGTGAAAACTAAAACTGAATAGATTTCTATATTTTCTATGTATAGAAATATATATATGTGTGTGTGTGTGTGTGTGTGTGTGTATACCTGTATGTATATATTATATTTATGATACAAATATATATACAAGTACAAATATATATAACCTGTATATATACAAACATATATAACCTGTATATGTATTTGTACCTGTATATATATTATAGGCACATTATATTTATATTATAAAGGAAAGAAAAAGAATATAAACATATTTATGGCTACTGAACTGTATACTTTAAAATGGTAAAAATGATAAATTTTATATTCAAATTTTACCTCAATAAAGAATAAAATTTTTAAAAAACATAATGATAAAAATTACTATTTAAAATGTTTAGCACCTACACTAAGGTTACATGACCATACCTACTCAGGAAAAAGAATTGGAAGACTGATTTTAAAAAACACTTTTACGGGGGTTGGGGGATCTGGGACATACTCCAAAAATAACATTTTTATGAAAACAACTGTTTTTGCTTAAAGTCTCGGTGGATTTTCTATAATACATAACAAAATCATTTTCCAGCCAATTCATTGTGATGATGCATCCAGCTGATGCATCACAAACTAAAAACGAATAATGAATAAAAAGGCACTTCTTAAAGAAGAGATAATATATAATATATATGTACCTATATTGTATAATATTATATATGTATATATAGTATATATGTGTACATATAGTATATATGTATTATGTATGTATATATGGTATATATAAGTGTAAATATAGTATACATACTATATATATACAAGTCATATATGTGTATTATATATGTATATTTAATATATATGTGTATATAATATACAGGTTATATATGTATTACATGTACATGCATGTAAATATATATTACCTCTTCTCTAGTGTTTTTATTTTTAGTCTGTGATGCATATATATTACATATATGTATCATATATGTATACACATACACATGTGTATTATGTATATATACATACATGTATATATACATACACATATATGTATGTATACCTATATGGTACAAATATATATTTGTATATATAGTACAAATATGCATACATAATATATATGATGATATTTATAACAGTTACATGAGTATCACACCCTGGTAAGTCTGAGGCCTTATATATATACATATTACATATATATGTGATGCATATGCAATCATATGTAATATATACGCATCACAAACTAAAAGTAATGAATAAAAGGACATTTCTTAGATAAAAGGTAATATATATGTTATATATACATATATGTACATATGTATTATATAACCCATATATTATATACGCATGTATTATACATTATGTATATATAGTATATACATATTTAGTACATATATACGACCTATATATATGCAATAATTGTATATATAATACAATAATACTGTACAATTTACATATATATTTAAAATATGCATGTATAAAATAAAAATATATAAAACATATATTATTTCTTCTCTAAGAAGTGCCTTTGTATTCATTATTCATTTTTAGTTTGTGATGCATCCGCTACAAATCAGTAATGAATAAAAAGACTTACCAGGGTGTAATACTCGTGTAGGTATTACAAATATTGTCATACAAATGAATTAGTAAGTTACAATAACGAAGTTTTAGAATTGAGAGAACCACAACTGGACAATATAAATTTCATTAAATAAAACTTTTTAAAGCAATTAACATGGAAAATTATAAAAATTGCATTTAACAGCTCTCTCATGGTTGGAGAAGCAAGTCATGAGATTGTTTTTAAAAGCATCTACATAAAGAGATGGGGTAGCCTGAACTAGGGCAGTCACAGGAGTAATGAAAGGAAATGGACAGTTTCGAGACAACATGTAGGAGGCATCCTGGACATGGCTTTACAATTCACAAGATGAGGAGGGAGACGAAGAGGAGGATGTCAATCAAGGGTGATGATGCATTCTGCCATTCACCTACCAATTTACAATTATGAAGATCAATATAAAGATTACAAATACACAGATAACGACTCCTATGGTCAGTACGAAAACTAAGATTGCATCAGTGTCTGGTCGGCTTGATCTTCTCATCTGCAATTCTAGAGAAAACACACAAATCTAATGATTATCACTACTGAGGACAAGGAAATGGGTATTTAAATTAAAACTTTATATTTGAAAAACAACTACAGAAAAATACAGAAATGCTTAGTGGAGAGAAAATTATTAATGATCTTGCTCTTCATGTTTGGAATGTCCTTTTCAAACACACAAAAAAGTTCAAAGAATCTGACAATGAACAGCCTGTGTTACCACCATCTAAATACTACCATTAACATTTTACAATTCATCTACCCATCCTTCTATCAATTCATTAATCCATCTTACTTTTGATGCATTTTAATATAATTTGCAAATGTCAGTACGCTTCCGACCAAATTTTTCAGCAAGCATATCATTAACTGAGTTTTTCAGTTTTTTCTTTGAAGTAAAATTTTCATGCAACAAATTGCACAAAGATCTTAAATGTACATTTGCTAGGTTTTGACAAAGGCAAACTCATATATGTAACTAAATGCTAGCCAAGATACAGAATATTACTATACCCCAGAAAGCTCCCTTGAACCTCTTCCTAATTAACCCCTTCCTCATCCTCCAGAGGCAACAAGTATCCTGATATTCTCTTCTACCATAGATTACCTCTGACTATTCTAGAAGTACATACAAATGGAAACACACAGTAGGTAATCTCTTGTGTAAGGATTTGTTTACTCAGAATAATGTTTTAGAAATTCACCCATACTGTTATATGCAACTATCCTTTTTTTTATTACTAGGTAAACTCCACAATTTGTTTACTCATCCTCCTACTGATGGATACCTAGGCTGTTCCAGTTGTGAGATATTATAAATAAAGCTGCCATGAACATTCTTATGCAAGTCATTTTGTAAATATATATCTTAATTTTTGGCTAAATATCTAAGAATCTGAGTGTGTTTAGCTTTGTGTGTTTAGCTTTCTAAGAAACCATGAGAACGTTCTCAAACTGATTATACTGACTGTACATGTTTTATAAATGTTTTCTACAAGATTTTGGCTTGCCTATTCATTATCCTAATGATTTCTGTTAATGAGCTGAAGTTTTTCATTTTGATGAAGTCTGATTTATTCAATGTTTCATTTTATGGTGATTGTTTTCTGAATTATGTCTAAGACACGTTTGCCTACTCCTGAATCATGCAAATATTCTCCTATATTTCTTTCCTAAAGCTTTATGGGTTTAGCTTTTACATTTAGGTCTATGATACTTCTCTAATTTTTATATATGGTATAAGGAAGGAATTGAAGCTCATTGTTTTCCATACACATATCTACACCTCTCTCTCTCTCTTTAGGAAATGGGGTCTTTCTATATTGCCCAGGCTAGCCTTGAACTCCTGGGCTCAAGTGATCCTCCCACCTCAGCCTCCAAAGTAGCTAGGATTAGAGTCACACATCACTGCACCCAGCTCACACACCACTCTTACATCAAGCATTATCTCCCATAATTCTTTGCTCTTTCAGCAAATAAGGTTATTAAAGAGACAAAGCCAATCTACCATATGTATTATAATATTGCTACATTGTAAACTGGTAAAAAGACAATTAATATAAAATATTACTTACTTTGTGAATTACATAGCTTTACTGTAGCTATTTTATGTCCCCAAATTCTGGAATCATAAAAGATTCATGGAAGAAAGAACTATAGAGATCATCTGATCCAACCATTGCATTATACAGATAAGTAAACCAAGGTCCAAAGAGGTTTAATTTGTACAAGCTATATTTGACTATTTAAATATTTTGATTTTTATAAGTATCACTCTGTCAGAGTAGTCTTCTATATGAGCAATCTCAACTGCTTATTTTTCTGGATTTGTTTCCCCTATCCATTAGATATCACGGAATATAAGTTTCCATTCTGCCTAGTAATTATAGAGCTATAAACTCAAGTTAGGGATCTCACTGAATAGTTCCAACTGTGCTAAAGAAATTCCATATATATTTATATTCCAACATTGTTGGATATTTAGAAATTTTTTATTTCAAAATAACTTCAGATTTACACAAGTGGTGACATTTTGAAAACTTAAATAAAAGACACCTTTTAGAACTGAAACCTGACAAGAAGAAATGCAAAATTCATTTGTCCATTACTCTGCAGTGTTAGCTGAGAGAGGGTAGAGAGTAAGGAGCATGAATATTTTATTTATTACAACAGTAATCTTGCAAGGGTCACCTAGATTATTTTTATAGGGAGCACTTCACACTGGGGTCTGTTGGGGGGAAATAGGGGAGGGGCAGCGGGGGGTGGGGAGTTGGGGAGAGATAGCATGGGGAGAAATGCCAGATATAGGTGAAGGGGAGGAAGGCAGCAAATCACATTGCCACGTGTGTACCTATGCAACAATCTTGCATGTTCTTCACATGTACCCCAAAACCTAAAATGCAATAAAAAAAATAAAAAAAATAGGCTCAATTTCCTATGGAAATATTTAATGAAAAACAGGCTAAATTTGATGCTCTCACTTTTTAGATAACCTAAGCTTATGTACTTATTAGTTTCTTAGGACCACCATAACAAAGTACCACAAACTGGGTGACTTAAAAACAACAGAAATGTATGTCTCACAGTTTTGGAGGCTAGAAATCTGAAAACAATGTGTTGGTAGGGCCATGCTGCCACCGAAGGTTCTCGGGGAAAGATCCTTCCTTGCCTCTTACAGCTTCTCAGCTTCTGGTAGGCTCAGACGTTCCTTGGCTTGTGGTAGCATAACTCCAATTTCTGTCTCCATTTTCACATGGCCATCTTCTCCTTTGTGTCTCTCTATGTCTTTGCCTGGTATCCCCAACCCTCCCGTGTGTGTGTGTGTGTGTGTGTGTGTGTGTACGCATAAGCATGCCCAAATATTCCCAAGGCCCACTCTGCTCTAGTATAACCACATCTTAACTAATTACATCTGCAAAAAACCCTATTTCCAAATACACTCGCATCCTGAGTACTTCAAAGTATCTTTTTTAACAATGCCTAATTATGAAAGATAGCTATTGTGGGAGTGAAAAATCTGATATTTAAGTGAATGAATGAGAATTTTTCACTAGGGAAACCATATTTACCCTAAAAATATCTCAATTACATATTTGTTTCAAGCTAGTACTGTATTGTGTGGACATTTCTAGCCAAAACATTTGTTTGATTTCTAAACAGCCAAAGGGGTCTGTTGCAGTGGTATACCCAATTGTCATGTTTAAAGCAATTAATAAATACCAGAGTGTTCTAAAAACATTTTGTCAATCAGTGCATGTACTGAGATGGCAGAGCTACCCCACCATTCCTCGACTGCTATGAGAGAGAGAATTTAACTTTGTCTCAATAAAGGCCTGACATTTTAGGGTCTGTGTTCCAGCCTTTAAAATATACACTACCAAATACATGCTCCCTTCTAATTATGAGAGGAGCTAACCACTGAACTGCCTTAACAGGGACCAAATAGTAGGGACAAAGACTGAGAATGGCTTCATACACTTTTAATATCATGAACGAGGGCTAGTTGAGACATTTTTTAGTGTGATGATGTTTTTATTCTCTTGCCTTTTTTAGAGCTTTATTGAAAATTATCCTTTTAATGACATCTGATATCTCAATAGAGGAGTAAGATTATTAGCTTTCACCATGAAGATGTTTCTAAACTCATTAAAGAGCATATCAAAGGAAGTTTAAATAGCAGTTTATTTTTTTAAATCACCCTAAAACACTTCAACCTGTTTTCAATAAAATGTGTTATATCGTGTGGTATCTCTAGACTACAGCAGAAATTCTTTCCTTTGGGTTCAGAAATAGCTTCAAGAAATCCAAACACTTTTTAAAAATTACATGTAACTTTTGGCATATTTGTATATGTGGACATTTTTCTGGAAAAAGGATCCTGAGCCTTGATAGGATTCTCAAAAGAACTTGTGACCAAGTCCCCACATCCTTAACAACAAAGATGACAACAACAATAAAAATGGTTAAGAGCAACACAACAAAAGGAAATACTTACCTGGATATGTAAGCCATCACAGATTAAATTGCAGATATGCCAATGGATCTATTTCACAAAGGAAATATGGTTTCTAATACGTAAAATTACATTCAGGACAATATTTTAATTTTGTGATATATATATTTTTTTGAGAACTGTATTATTGCTTCATCAAAAAACATTTGCTTTGGCCAGGTGTGGTGGCTCATGCCTGTAATCCCAGCACTCTGGGAGACCGAGGAGGGCAGATCACAAGGTCAAGAGATCGAGCCCATCCTAGCCAACATGATGAAACCCTGTCTCTACTAAAATATAAAAAAGTAGCCAGGCATGGTGGCAGGTGCCTGTAGTCCCAGCTACTTGGGAGGCTGAGGCAGGGGAATTGCTTGAACCTGGGAGGCAGAGCTTGCGGCGAGCTGAGATTGTGCCACTGCACTCCAGCCTGGCGACAGTCAGACTCCATCTCAAAAACAAACAAAAAATTTGCTTCAAATATGCAAAGCTTAAAGAGACATACTGTGACATCACATTTCTTAATTTTATTTATTTTACTGAATCAAAATTTTCATAAGCATCCATGAGAATTCCATTTACCCATTTTCACTTTTATAATGAAAGTAAAAGAAAGAATATAATTCAAGTTAGAGGACTGTTCTTTGAAGATACTTAAGAAATATACCAGTTTCCTAAAGTGAGGCACTTGTGACCACTTTGTGAAAAAGAAATTAAAACCTTTGTAGAAAGGTCTAAATGATGTAAACCAGTGATTCTCAAAGTGTAGTCCCTGGATAAGCAGCAACAGCATTACCTGGGAACTTGTTAGAAATGGAAATTCTTGTTCCAGTCCCATCCCAGATCTACTGAATCAGAAACTACGAGGGCTAGAGATTGGTGTTTTAATCCTCCAAGTGATTTTAATGTTCTTTACAGTTTGGCATATAAGCAAACCAAGACATTGCTGGGCACTTACCATTACTCGTATAGACTGTGAATTTAATAGTTGCTACTATTTCATTATTATCCAATGTGTCACACTCGAAAGCCAAGGGGTGATTTTCCCGGCGTACTTCTAGGATTGCCGAATCATTTTCAAGTACAATAGATTGCTATTTAAAAAGAAAAAAAAATAACAAAGTATCAACATTCTTCATGTACACTCACCAGGAAACAATTTATTTCCCTTAAGGAAAGGAGGGCTACCATCTCTCTCAGCTTAGTTTAGTAATTAATAATCTAAATGGATTTTCAGTCACACAATCCAGGCTTCAAATCCCAACCCGACCACTTCCTGCCTGTGTAAATGTGGACAAGTTACTCACTACATCTCAGTTACTTAGTTGTAAAAATGGATATAATGATAGTGATTACCTCATGAAATTGCTATATAGATTTAAAAAGGCTCTAGCACTTGGTGTTATGTATGGCACTTAATAAACCCTTAATTAATGTGACCCACTGTTATCACTATATAACTCCTACATAAGCTAATGAAAATCTTGCTTCCAAAATGGAATACTTTGTATAAAATGGACATCTTAAAGTTCTGATTACAGCTGGCCCTTGGACATATGTAAAGTCTTAGTCCTGCTAAATAATGAAAAATTTCAAATTCCAAAATAATAAAGTTGTATAATTCTTAACTTCATTTTGGCAAACTGCTTTCAAAAAGAAAGTTTTCTGAAAGCCATCAGAATTGAGAAAAAAATTTTACTACTCACTATAAAGCATGAGATTACATCCATTCATTACTCACTTGGTCTGGCCTTAGAAGTTTCCACATATATTTGAAACGATTTGCAGGAGATGTGTGAATACATGCCAGTGTAACACTTCCAAGACTTTCTAAAATTGGCTTACCCCCTGAAAAAAAATTAAATACAGAAATACCATTGGGCCATTATAAATTGCTTTATACACGATACTCTTTTTTTTTGAGACAGGGTCTGGTTTTGTTGCCCAGGCTGGAGTGCAGTGTGCAGTGGCATGATCTTGGCTCACTGCAACCTCTGCCTCCTTGGCTCAATGCATCCTCCCACATCAGCCTCCCAAGTGGCTGGGACTATAGGTACATGCCACCATTCCTGGCTAATTAAAAAAAAAATTTTTTTTTGTAGAGATGGGGTTTCACCATGTTCCCAGGCTGGTCTCAAACTCCTGAGCTTGAGTAATCCTCCTGCCTTGGACTCCCAAATTGCTAGGATTACAGGTGTCACAATACTACTTTAAAAAGCCACCTCCAGTTTTAAAAATCAACTATCTGATGGAAGTTATCAAACTTATAATTGGGAGTTTGAGTGTTGAGGAACAAAGGACTGATGGATGCAAAGATAAAGCCACCAAAAGGAGCACGTAAGGAGAAACCAGGGCTCTCTGTTCCTTATGCAGAATAAGGTGTAAAGAAGAAATAAGGGCAATTGACTTAATGATCTGTTAGGCTAAACTACGATATCTATTGGTGGCTTCCAATATTGGTTAGAGACTCCCATTAGAGATACCGAAATTTCAGAACAGTGTAATTTGATATAGAACAGCTGTCAAAGTTCTCAATTTAAAATTTACCAATCTACTGATAAAATGCCATGACCAAAGCATCAAAAGCATTTCAACACAAGATAGCCTCAACTCCAGACCCAATATACAGTAAGGCTCCAGTGTATTATAGAGAATATATGTTAAATTTTAGAAATATCTGAAAAAATGTAAAGCAAAATCAGAAAGTTACTCAGAACTATAACTGTTTAAAGAAGTGGAATTTTAAATTTTATGATTTTCTTTCAGTATGCCAACTGGTTTCCTCCTTCTATTCAGTGGCAATCTGAGGTGAAAAATATTTTCACAGAGTAAACTCTTCCCCACTGTTTCCCTCCAATATATAATTCAACTCACAGCCACAATCTATTGGTCCATGGCATTCTTCTACCCGTACAATACACTTGGATTCACCACCAGGGCATCCATTTGTTAATAAAACTTCTCTAATGCCAATACCTTTGGTTAAAAAAAAAAAAAAGGCAAATGTTAAGAAAAAAACTAATTCCAGAGTCTCTTCACTTTCCCACCTAGGTCTTTTCTTGAGATTTTTCTTCTAATTTCAGAAATTAAGTTCCTAAATTCAGAATGAGAATACTTAAAATTTTTTTGGCTCTTCATTTTGAATTATTTCCTAAAACAGTATTTTCTGGTGTGAGTTACATGAAACACTAGTTCCTCTGGTTACCATAAGAAAAAGGATTCCATGATCATACACGTTTGAAAATGGTACATTAAATAAAATTAAAGGAACTGCTTTACTACAGAATTTTGGGGGAACTTTTTAATATGTTAGTAAATTAATATGCTATTGTGTACATTTTCATTGATCTAAGATGTAAAAGTTTTACATTTTAACATCTTTTAAATCAGAATACATTTCATACCTTTGATAACATTTCATAAATTAATCAGCAATATTTTTCCTTTATAGACTACCTAAAGTGTAAGTCTATAAAGTCTTGGATTTGATGAAATACAGTGGTATACAATATTTCACAAATTTATTTGACCATGTAACTTTTTGGGGAAGCATGAAGGGAGCTTCTGGAGGAAAATTAAAAATTGCATTTTAGCATAAATGGTGTCGTTAAATATTTAGATTGGTAAAATGTCTGCATTAAATATAGAAGGGACAACCTATTAATGACCAAATCTCCATTTCCAACAAGATGCTCTCTTTAGATTGTCACACTTTTTTTGTAACAAGAAATTAATTTTCCTAACTGATCTCAGAATTCCAGAAAATTCTCCCATCACCAGAATTGGGAGAAATAACAAAATGCTAGATTAGCTAGCTACATGTTGAACTACATGTTGAACCATGTCCCATGTTAAAGCAGGCTAAGAAAGAATCCATTTTTACCTCCTTTTCTACCAGACTTCCTCTTCTAGCCCCTCTAAGATGTTATCTCAGAGGGAAAAGGAAAGTTGATGACTAGAGTTGTTTTATAACTGCTTCTCAAACTTGACAGTGTGTGCAAATCACCTGGAGATCTTACTAAAATGCAAATTTTGATTTTGCTGTTTTTGAATGAGTTTGAGATTCTGCAGTTCTAACAAGCTCCCAGGTGATACTGATGCAGTCTGTGGACCGCACTTTGAATAGTAAGGGAGAAGACTCCGCATGAAACAAGAAAATGGAAGGATGGAATGAAGAAGGTCTTTGGTTAAGATAGATGACTGAGAATGTATGGCTCCACTTGAATTTATAAAAGATTCTTTTTTTGAGATGGAGTCTTACTCTGTCACCCAGACTGGAGTGCAGTGGCACGATCTCAACTCATTGCAACCTCTGCCTCCCAGGTTCAAGTGATTCTCCTGCTTCAGCCTCCTGAATAGCTGGGATTTACAGGCATGCACTACCACACCTGGCTAATTTTTGTAATTTTAGTAGAGATGGGGTTTCACCATGTTTTTCAGCTTGGTCTCGAACTCGGATGACCTTATGATCCACCTGCCTCGGCCTCCCAAAGTGGTGGGATTATAGGCGTGAAACACCACACCTGGCCTGAAAGATTCTTTAGAAGCACAGCCTTAATTCTGAAGTGCATAGTTTGTTTTTTGTTTTTTGAGAAGGAGTCTTGCACCGTTGCCCTGGCTGAAGTGCAGTGGCGCAATCTCAGCTCACTGCAACCTCTGCCTCAAGAGATTGGCCTCCCAAGTAGCTGGGATTACAGGTGCTTGCCCCACCATGCCCAGCTAATCTTTTTTTTCGCATTTTTAGTAGAGATGGGGTTTCACTATGTTGGTCAGGCTGGTCTCGATCTCTTGACTTTGTGATCCACCTGCCTCAGCCTCCCAAAGTGCTGGGATTACAGGCATGAGCCACCGTGCCCAGTGTGCATAAATATTTTTAAAGCAGGTATTTCATGTATTTATTTACTTAGCTAAATACAGTTCACTGAGATGCATGTAGGTGTGAGATTTTCTGTAATACCAAGTAACACCTAAAAATCTGCCTGGATATAAAAGAAAACTTTTTGACTGCTAAAATATTGTTTCAGAAGTTAAACAGGATTTTCATCAAGGCATTTTTCTCTTCTAGTTCTAAATAGAAAGGTTTTTAACATTTTGGGCATGGAATACTGCTTTTTCTGGTTTATTTTTTTCCTTATAACTTATTACCATTTGACACATAACATGTTTTACATATTTATGTGTCCACTCTTACTAAAATATGCATTGCTTGGGGGCAGAGAGTTTTGCCTACTTTGCTTATATCCCTAGCATCTGTAACAATGCCAGGCACATAGTAGGCAAACAATTTTTAAATGGAAAAAAAATCATTTGAGTGAATACAGTTCCTAAACTTCTCTTTAAATAATAGAAAATGATGTCAATTATTTGAACTATCATAAAAATAATTCTCTAACTCTGAAAATTTCTGAACTAAGCAGCTAAACAAAGACATAAACTACAAATAACTGCAGGCTTACTACATGGATTTCTCTCATTTTGTGACTCTGACTTACTAAGAAATTAAGGTTAAATTAAAAAACAGGTTAACACAATTTTAAGAGATAGAAAGAATAGTGGTTGCCTGGAGCTGGGAGGAAGGAGAAATGGAGAGTTAGCGTTTAATGGGTATTTGAGTTTGACATAATTAAAAAGTTCTAGAGATGGGCAGTTGTGTTGGTTGCACGAGAATGTGAATGTGCTTAAGTCCACGGAATTGTACATTTAAAATGGCTAAAATGGTAAATTTTATGTTGGGTGTATTGTACCACAATTTTAAAAAGCTTCTCCAAATAAAAACAATTCAGGTGTGATTTTTGATGCCCCTACCTCCGTGAAATTCATTCTGATCTAGACTAGAGCTGCTTGAATTTTGTCTTCTTATCATCTGATGATTGTTCCCTTTTCTCTCTCACCACTGTTTTCTTTCCAAGACAGGTTCTATTTAGAGTAAACTTAATTTCATTGTGAATTATCTATGGTCTTCTCAGCACCCTGGTCTACAGCACTGGTTATCAAAGGATAGTCCTCTAACTAGCAGCATCAACTTCATTGTAAACTTGTTAGAGAAATTTTATGTCCAATTTCTATCCATGGAATGATCAGACTAAGTCATGTTCTCTGAATATTATCCTCCCAACAAACCCAATACTTCTTTTCTCCAAAACATGACACATAAATTGGAGAAATGTAGAATATATAATGGACTATTACAAATAAGTAAATTCTTGATAAATTTGCCAACACAATATGTGGGAAGACATCTGTGAGATGCGTCGGAAAAGCTTTCATCTTCTGAACATCTGTGAGATAGAGAAAATTTTACTTTGCCAAAAAAATATAGGGAGCTGGCTTAAAATAAGATTTAGAGATTACAGACTGAAAATATCTTACAGTTTAAAGCAATCAGTCTAGCTCTGTGTATACATTATAAGTATTAGAAACAAAAGATGCATGAAAGTACACAAGTTACAAATAAAAAGTTGCACACTATCTGCTTTTACCTTTCCTCCCCCCACCCAATTACAACATGGTTTATTCATCTGTTCAATACTACTTACCACATGTAACGGTGCACATTCCAAATTCTACTTCTTTGACTACGTTCCTATTTGAAACTAAACATAAAGGGTAAAGATACATTATTTAATTATATGAAAACTTTTCTAAGTGAAACACCTCTTACTTGGAGATCAAAAACTTGTGTAACATATGGGAAGCAAACATTTTTTAAGTTTTCCATTTAAATCAGAAAGCAATGACATTCTTAGTACTGTTAATATCTAAATCAAAAGAATCTCAAAGCTCTAAAGAAGTCCATCAAATCAGGAAATAACCTAATAGGAAGGTTTATATTTAAACTTTGTGTATACCTTAAAATTTTTTTCATCAGTTGACATACAGTGAGTTAAAATTTGATAAAGGGTCAGAAAAACATATAAAGGCCTATCAGTTCTAGAAACCAATTTTTTCCTATTCTCCATTTTCCAAAATTGAGAATATAATTTCCAATCAAAAAGAAGTCATTAACCAGTGTTCATTAAAATGATAAAAGTTATAGATTAGTTCTACTCCCCAGGTTAAGATGGTAAATGCAAATATTTCTAAGAATTTATTTCAACACTTTAGCAGGTTAGTAGAGGAATATATCACTATTTAGAAATTAAACTTTGTTGGTTCCAAATCATGTTTCTCTTTTTCTAATCATTCTGAAGTTTGGCATAGAATTCCACTAGCTATAGCATATAAGCAATTCTTCAGCTCAAATTAGGACCAAAATCTCAATAGAAAAAATTATAAAGTGAGGTGTTAGAAGATGACTTTTAAAAGGCATTGTACCCTAGGACAACAAATCACATGGAAAACACATTGAACTGGAGTCCAAAGAGCTGCTTCTCTCACTAATTAGCTGTTTGTGTTTGAGCAAATTAATTAAATGCTGTCAGGCTTAGTTAACCCTTCTGCAAAATTTGGAAAGGAAAATCCATCTCATTTGATTGTTGTAAGAATTAAATAGGATAATGTGTGTGAAAGCATTCTATAAATTGTTTAGTACTACAAACATACTTAAGATATAATTATCCAATTTAAACCCATTTTGTACTTATTAATGCTAAGAGTTTTTTCCTATTTTGATTATGGTAAAACCTCAATAGTTTCATAAACACTTCTATTCTATACTTACAAGCACCAAATACAGTTTTTTTGTTTTTGTTTTTGTTTCTTTTTGAGACAGAGTCTCTCTTGCTCTGTTGCCCAGGCTGGAGTGCAGGGGCATGATCTCAGCTCATTGCAACCTCGACCTCCCAGGCTCAAGTGATTCTTCTGCCTCAGCATCCTGAGTAGCTGAGAATATAGGCATGCACCACCACGCCCCGCTGATTTTTGTATTTTTAGTAGAGACAGGGTTTCACCATGTTGGCCAGGCTGGTCTCAAACTCCTGACCTCAAGTGATCCACCAGCCTCAGCCTCCCACAGTGCTAGGATTATAGGTGTGAGACACTGTGCCTGGCCCCAGTATAGGTGAATACTCAGTAAGCACCTGATACACATAAGTAAATCAATATTGACTTTATTAAGTCATTTCTTTAATAAAAATTAGAAAAGAATATCATGATTTAGACTATCATGATGATCCATTTTGAATTGTGGAATGCTTAGACACCTTCTACTGGCACATTATGAGATACAAATTAAAAACCAAATCCTGAACACAGAAAGCATGGATAACAGAATGGGTGCTGCACTACTTTTAAATATAAACTTTTTTTCAAAAACCGTTAGTCAATCACTACCTATTCTACTTTGGGAAAGTTGTTCAATTTCTTCCAACTCGTTTCCTTAAAGAAAAAAAAAATGAGATTAAATAAGAAAGTCTCTAAAGTCCCTTTCAGCTTTAATATTCTATGATGTATTGAGTGTCCCTTAGATTACCCAGTAACTTTTTTAAAAAATGAGAATCCCACAATGGTGGGTCAGGAGAAATGTATGTAACTGAACTTCACTACGGCATTTGTCAAAATTTCCTGTTATAAACCTATGAATAGTAAGAAAATATATGGTCTAAATGTCAATAAAGTTTTACGTGTAACTGTTTAAACTTTAAGGCCACAGATGTTAATTAACTAGTTGGTATTAATATGGTAGGAGTGATGTGTCACAGGGCTCTGTCCTGTTCAACATTTTTATTAATGACCTGGAAAAAGATGCTGTTATCACGCTGACTGAATCTAGAATTCTGCAAAGCTAGAAAGGATAGCAAATACATTTGATGACATATCTGGATCTAAAAATGACAGAGTAAAATAATGAGCAGATCTAACAAACAATATGAAACTTTTCAGGAATAAAGTCCTTCACATACAGCTGAACATACAGCTGAAAAGTCAGCTGTCCAAAACTATTTTATGGGTTGTCTTAATTTGATAGGACAGTTAAAAATGAGTGGAGAATACAATAGTGAATTCAATAGGAGTCAAAGATGTGCTGAGGCTTCCCTAAAAATCTACTGGGTCTTAGACTACACTAATAAAAGCCTGGCATCCACAGTGATGAGGATAATGATCTTCCTCTTTTAGCTGTGGCCAGGTCCTGAAATGTTCTCTTCAGTTCTGGATAGCACACGGTAACTCTGGGTTATCATCAAGGTACAATTTTAGTTTTTCAGTTTCTGAGAGTTGATTTGTTAGGTTGATATTTTATGACTTTTATCCTTCCTTAGAAGTATTCCAAAGACAAAAGGAACATATATTTGTATAGGATAAAACCCACTGTATAGAATACAACTTTCTATTTTGCAATTATTGTGTAGGTCTATCAGATCCTTTTTATAAATCTAAGGCCATACCTGTATAAAAGATATATTTAAAAGGTGTATTAAAGTATAACAAGGTATAACAAAAGTATAAGGATATAAATCTAACATCTTAATGATTTTTTCTTTATCTTGAAACATTGTGATATTTCATCATCCATAATGATGGTATTACTCATTATTTTCAAGTACACTTTTTAAATGACTAAAATTTAAAAATGAAAGAATGATTGGAATTGCCTAGAAAACTAATGTAATTGTGAAATAATTACACTAACACAGGCTATTACAACATCCTGTGTTTTCATATTGCTTTGCCCAAGGTATTGCATCATCTTTCAAAATGTAAAGGAAGTCTAGAGGTATCCTCCTTGTAGTCTATTTTGGGCTTTTATTGAACACAGTTGAGATCTCACAATTTTTCATTTTTTGCCCATAATGGCAAAGAGAAGAAAACTGACAGAGAAAACCATTTCACAATTATTGAACAAATCAGAAGATGAAGAGACAGATAACACTTTAGATGCTAATGATAATGAAATTAATTGTATAAGCAAAATCTCAATGAGAGATGATAGATGAATATAATAGATGAATTTTCTCTAACTTAAGAATTTATGAGTAAACATTACATTTCTGGGGATGAAAAGAATATATGGTATTATCATGTAGTTAGCCTTTCAACGGGAAAGATTTGATCCTGAAATATACTGTGACAGTAACTCATACCATACTGTTTTGCTAAAAGGATGTGGACAGTATTCTTTCTTTTTTATAACGGTTATGTACCAACATTTATTTGCCAAGGTTTGTAAATGAACATATTGTGATGAAAGATATGTATATAAAGGTGACTGAAAGAAAAGATTATGTAGAAATGAATAAAATTCATTGGATCAATCATTCTAATGGGTGTTTATAAATCTAAAGATGAAAATATTTTCCAATTGTGAAAAAAGATGGCTTTCTCTTTAACAAAATATGTGCCTTTGTAGTTTTCAAAAGTGTTGGTCTTTTTTTGACAAGTGCAAAAAGAACCAAGATTAATGATAAGCTAGAATCTATTAAAGATGCACTGAAAATCTGGAATCAGTATTAACATGACGAATGCATTCCAAGTTCATGCTTAATCATTGAACACTCAGTTGTATTCAAAGTACTTTGGCCAGGGTACATACACCTTCAAAACTAGGAGAGATGGAATAAAAATTTGAATTTTTCTATGTTTAAATTCTTATTGAAATTTCTAACAAAGTTGTTTTCACTATTCCTTTATTCTTATTTGTAAATTATTTTTAAATGACTTAAAAACAATTTAAAGCTCCACTGGATAGTAAATGGGGATGTTTCTACTGATCCACTGAGGGTTAAGGGGACAGTGCAGGCCAGGCACAGTGGCTCACGCCTGTAACCCCAGCACTTTGGGAGGCTGAGGCAGGTGAATCTGGGAGGCTGAAGCAGATGAATGACGAGGTCAGGAGTTCAAGACCAGCCTGGCCAAGATAGTGAAACCCTGTCTCTACTAAAAATACAAAAATGAGCCAGGCACAGTGGCAAGCGCCTGTAATCCCAGCTATCCAGGAGGCAGAGGCAGGAGAATCACTTGAACCCGGTGGGGCAGAGGTTGCAGTGAGCTGAGATTGCGCCACTGCACTCCAGTCTGGGCGACAGGTAAGACTCCATCTCAAAAAAAGGGGGGGGGGGGGGGATGGGACAGTACAAATTTCAATAATGGTCCTGGAAATTTTCAAACCTCTAACACCTCAGATGTTTAAAGTTTTGGATTCTCACTCTCCCCAGGAAAAAGCACCTATGCATGGAATAGTATGTTTTAAATCCCAGATAGTAATGGATTCCTTGAAGTCCATAAAAGAGAAAACTGAGACTCTGAAAGGATAAGTAACTAACCTACATTTTAATTTGAATGTAAGACATTATAACTTTATTGCCTGAGGTTAGCCTAAGTAATATTTAGCATTTTACAGCTAGAAGTATTTCTTGACCAGTTTAATACTAAAATTGTTAATTCAATTACTTTAAAGGGAATGAAGCAATAGCTACTATGCTTTAGAACATGTTCTCTTCTTTCCTAGTCATCTTTCTTTTTCACATTTCCGAAGTCAAGGATCTTTTTAAGCTCTCTGTAGTGTCATGTTACAAGGCCGTGCAAACCTCGATCCCACTATTAACCTCAAGACAGTCCATTTCTTTCTGTTGGTGCTGAGGGTCAATATCAGTAAATAAACGAAAGGCTAGCAAACATAGCAGTCACTCTATATGTACAGACTAAAGAGATGTGAGAATGCAAACGATATTAAAAGAACCTGAACTGGGTCATTTACAAGGGAAGGGAAACATCTTTCTTGAGAAGGCAGCAAACTTGCAGCTGACCTTGTACCTGCTAGAATGTGAGTTACTAATCAATATGACATGTACAACGGCTTGTCAAATTTTATTACTTAATGAGCCAGCAGAAAAAAAGCAAATGTATGTACCAAGCAGAAGTTCATTGTTCCTTTGGTTAACATGTAGCATCTAACAAAACCACTAGTTGGATCTCTTAACAGGTGTTTTCTACTGCTCTCTTTGTCTGAGGCTACACATACCAATTGAACACCACAATGCAGAGGTGCTCAAGGCTAGGAGCTGCAGGAAGCTGCTACGGGGCTTCTGAGCAGCTTTGTCGACACACTGGTCTATCTAGATGTGTCATCGTAAAGGGGGATTCTGAATTCCATTGCACCCCCAAGTGCAAATGTGGAAATCAAGCAATGTGGAACTTGGAAAAAAAGTCTATGGAAAGGGAAAATGACTGCAAGAGGAGTCAAAATGATTTCTCTTGGTGGAAGCCCACCTCCCACCCTTAAATATATATATATATATATATTTTCCCCCCTTGTCCAAAGCAATATTTAGAAGTATTTCCATAGCAATTTCTATATACGTGCTTATCTGTGCATCTTGCTGTGGCCTGGGAGAATGAACACATTCTTCTCCAAAGCCTTAAGATGCCAGAAACAAACTCGGGGCTGAGGCTATGCGAGAGAGCTCTCTGGACGTTAACACCGATAATTCTCCTTGTTTTCGGGCAAAGAGCAGGCCTTTGCTCCGTCAAGAGAGGCCTCCGCGTGCCCGCCAAGGGGGCTCCCGCCCTCACCATCGTCCTCGGTTTCGGGTGGGGCGTCGTTCTCCGCGGTCTCGCTGTCGTTGTTTTCCGTCTCCTCCTCGCCCTCGCCCGGGCCTTCGCGAGCTAGGCCGCCATCCTGGACCGCGGCGGTGACGTTGGTCCCTCTCGCGGACTGGAGGCCCGCCAGGAGCAGCCAGCCTACTGTCAGCAGCAGCCCAACGGGGCAGCCCGTGCCCCCGGGGCTCATGGTTCTCGGCCCCGAAGGCCGTCTGAGGCGCAGTTGCAGCCGCGGCTCCTGAGAGCAGGTGCGTCCAAGAGAGGTGCGACGCCCCGCCCGCAGCCACCTGGCTCCGAATCCCCCATAGCGCCCAGGCAACCATTGAGGCGTCACGGTTTGTCACCACCTTCTGTCTGCGAGGCCGCGCCGGATTTGGGCGTCTGGAACCCGCGCGGAGCTGGGCGGTGGGGGGGCGCATGCCGGGACGCGACGAGGAGCCGCGTGCATCACGCCCCTAGGAAGGGATGGAGCCCTTCCCCGCAACCGGAAGTCCCTGCCCAGGGCGCTTCCTCCAGCCTTCCCGGTGTGGTCGGCATTGCTGTCAGGTGCTCCCTCTGCCTCAGTTGATGGAGGGACCCTTCAGCCCCTTCTTTCACCCTGCCTGCTTTCGTCTAAGACTTTTTTTTTCATACATTATGTTTACCCTTCCTCAAACTAGACTTCTTAGCCCTCACATACTCTGCGTGACTTGGTTTCGAAATTTCTTATCCAGAATATCCAATTTGGGATGTATTGAGAAGGACTTGATTTCTTCTTTGGGATTAGAATAATAGACTTTGAGTAGGAAGAAATTTAGAAATCATCTGATACTCCAGACCCCTCATTTTTAAGTGAGTAGATTAAGAATCAGAGAGATTAAATGACTTGCCCAAAAACATCCTGCAAATTATTTACCAAGCTGGAGCTCATAGTCACATCTCCTGGGTGCTCACTTGATGATCAGTGATTCTTATGATTCAAGGTTAACAACGAAGAGGCTTTTAGTGGGGATGATTGGGAGTTCAAGTGCTGAAAAGTTAGGGTTGACTTTTTGATTCTGTTATTACAAATTTTATCTCATCTAGTAATCACAATATGGTTGTTTGTTGTTGTTTTTGAAAAGAAACATAGGGTGTCATACTTTGAGGCTTAATGTTTAAATTCCTATGACAAGTGAGATGAAAGTGAACTTGCATATACTCTGGCTTTGGGGATATTTGAATATCTAGTCTCAGCAGACTAACAGATAAGCAGCTAACAGAAAAGTATTAAGAGATTTTTCAGAGGCACTTATTTGTAACAAAATAGGTTATTTGAAGCAGAAGTTGAAATTTTTTTATTTGAACATTTTCTCCGGCAAAGTCTTCTAGTTTTGAAAACACAAGGACTGCTAAACATCCTCAGTATTAAGGTTCGAATTATTATTGGTGAGAAGTCTCTGGGAACATTTACCTCAATTAAAATACCATAAAATAATAGCACTTGACAAGATTATGAGGGACATTAACATGGGAAATTTAGAGATGATCTTAAGAAGTAAAGGCCTTTGCTTCATGGCTAAATAAGTGAAAATTTTTCTGTTTTGAATCCTGAGAAAAATAAGTCAAAAATTATGTCATCAAACACAAACTTGAAAAAGATGATATATAATATTGTCACTGGCAAATTGTTGAGTGTTTCAAAGTCAATTTTAGGACCCATTGCTTCCTGAATATAGTATCCTTTCTGAGCAGAGGAAGTCCTACAAACTCTACAGTATGTAATTTGACTCCAGGAAACATGAATAATCTCATAAATAAACAGTTCTAAAGGGAGTCCAAAAAACCTGAAAGATTTAACACTGAAATAAAGATTATTGTCTCTAATAACAGCAATATAAATCACCTATAAAACACTGTGTTACTCATATAAGTTATAAGAAAAGGTATAACATCTGTCCTTAACAAACTTTTACTGTCTCTTTAGTACTCTCTCTAGCCACAAATAAATGAAAATAAGTGTTTAGCCAGAAGGGAGGGCACAGAATCTAGAGGGACTGACCCTACTCTGACCTGCAGAGTAGGAATTCCACCCTCAATCCCTGATATGCTCCTCTGACCCACCTCATCCTGCTAGGAACTAAGCGTTTCCACTCCCATCTCCAATTTCCAAGAGGTGGGGATTAGAGCCCAAATTCCTCTGCCCCACTCTGCCCAAACATAGCTCACCTATCCTGGTCTGACCTTGCCATGATTGGCCTCATTTGGCATGCAAGAAAATCATTCCTCTATCCAGTCTCTGCACTACCTACCCTTGAAGACTTTGTATTCTGAAAAGGAAGACTAATTTGCGTGTGTGTGACATAAGCACAAGATAATCAAGGTCTGAATAAAGGATCACCATAAAAATGAAAAGAGACATGAATGTGAGAGAAATAACAAAGGAAGGATTAAGGAAATGGAATGACTGGCTGCCTAGGCTGGATGAGGGAGGGAGAGAGGGAGCAAATAAAGGGAATTAGGAAAGTCTGTGGATATTTAAGCAGGTTAAGTTGGAGGTATCAACAGAAATCAAGTGAAAACATACAGTGGGCAACTTGAGATTACCACACACCCCAAAAAAGATGAAAACCACTGATACATGCCACAAGCATGAAAAATACACACACACACACACATGCGCACACACACACACATTCAGTTAATATAATGTTCTAAGTACTGCTGTAACATTAGAAACTTTACAGTGATATTTATGAAAATAATTGTCTGGCATATAAAATTGATTTTGGCTTTAATATGCTTGATTTGGTAAAAAGCATTCTCCATAGTAATCCCCCAGAGAGAAGGCTCTCAAAGCACTCTTGCCATGTTTCTAACCTTTAGAGAAAAAGAGGTTTATCTTTCTGGATCCCAGAAGCAGGATTTCTCCCCTGGCTTTCTGTTTCCCACATTTACCTCTGTTGTGTCCTCATTCTCTGTCAATCATTTAAAACTGTATTGCTATACAATGGAAGATTTTGTGGTAGAAATGGAAAACCAAATACTGGATGTTCTCACTTATGAGTAGGAGCGAAGCTATGGAAAGACAAATGCATGTGGAGTGGTATGACGGACACTGAAGACTCAGAAAGGGGGAGGGGGTGTTAAAAATTACCTATTGGGTACAATGTACACTATTCGGGTTATGGGGACACTTAAAGCCCAGAGTTCACCACTATACAATTCATCCATGTGGACAAAAACCACTTGTGCCCCTAGAGCTATTGAAATAAATTTTCTTGAAAAAAGAAAACATAAAAAATAACAAAGTATACACTTTAAGGAGTTAGAAGTTTTAACATATATGTATACACCTATAAAACCATCACCACAATCAAGATAGTGAAAATATCTGTCACACCAATAAGTTTCCTCTTCCCCTTCTCCTCCTTACACCTCCATCCTTGTCCTGAGGCATCTACTGATCTACAAGAGAACATTTTATGGAGAGAACACTACTCTTTCATTAACACCTGTAAATTCTTATTGCCTTAAGAAGACCTTCAGAGGGGCAGGGCCTTCGTAGGCAGCTACGTTAGAGTTTTTCGTCAGTGGAATCACACAGTATATATTCTTTTGTGTCTGGCTTCCTTCAGTCAGCAACATTGAGATTCATCTCTGTTGTCATGTGTGTTAACAGTTCATCCCTTTATATTACTGGGTAGTGTTTCATTTGATGGATGATATCACAATTTGTTTTTCCATTCACCTTTTAGTGTCCTTTTGGGAATGTTTCCAATATGGGGCTTGTAATGTTTAGAATGTTTACATCTACTCAAGAATATTGATTGGTTTCTAAAAACTAAGGATATTGGTCGAAAGTTTTTCTGTAATATCTTTGTCTAGTTTTGGTATCACTGCAATGCTGGCTTCATAGAATGAGTCATGGTATATTCTCTCCTCTGCCATTTTTTGGACAAGTTTGCGTAGAATTGGTCCTTTGCTTCTTTAAATGTTTGGTATAATTCACCTATGAATTATTGTCCTGAATTTTTCTTTATGAGAAGAATTTTACCTACAAATTCCATTTCTTTAATATACCTAAGGCTGTTGAGGTTATCTGTTTCTTCTAGAGTGAGGTTTGGTAGTTTGTACCTTCCATGGAATTTATCCATTTCATCTAAATTACAAAATTTGTAGTGATAACAGTGTTCATAATCTAATTATCCACTTAATACCTGTAGAAACTATAGTGATGTTATCTCTCTCATTTTCGACGTTGGTAATCTATGCCTTCTCTCTTAGCCTGGCTAAAGGTTTATCAAGTTTATTGATATACTTTCAAAGAACTGACTTTTGATTTCAATTACTCTATTATTTGTATGTTTTCTAGCTTATTGGTTTCTGCTTTAATTTGTATTCCCTTTTCTCTGCCTACTTTAGTTTTAATTTGCTCTTCTTTCTCTAATTCCTTACAATGGAAGTGAGGTTGTTGATTTTTTTCTTATTTTTTAAATATAGGCATTAAGTGTTAGACATTTCCTCCTACGTGCTATTTTAACATTAGCCCACAGTTTCTGATATGCTGTGATTTCATTTTCATTCAATTGAAAATATTATTTAATTTTCATTTTGACTCTTTTTGACCCATGGGTTATTTTAAAATGTGGCATTTAGTTTCCAAATATTTCTTAACTTTCCAGATAATTAAATTTCTGCTTTAATTGTATTATGGTCATAGAATATATTTTGTAAGACTTGAATCCTTTTAAATGTATTGAGATTGGTTTTATGGCCTAGAATATGGTCTGTATTAGTAAATGTTCCATGTGTACTTGAAAAGGATGTATATTCTGCTCTTGTTGAGTGGAGTGTTCTATAAATGCCAGTTAGGTCAAGTTAGTTGATAATGTTGTCAAGTCAACTATATCCTTGCTGATTTTATGTCTAGGTCTATCAATTGTTGAAAGAGAGATATTAAAATCTCCAGCTATAACTGTGAATTTTTCTATTGTTTTTTGCAGCTCTATCCATTTTAGCCTCATATATTTTGAAGCTCTGTTATTGGGGGCATACATATTTAAGATCTTGATGTTCTCATTATTAATGATCTCTTTATCTTATGAAATAACCTGTTTTATCCCTGGTAATATTCTTTTCTTTGAAATATATGTTTTTATATTAAAATCATCCATCTTTGTTTTTTTAAATTGTTAGTATATTATATATTTTCTTTTTTTTTTTTTTTTTATTAAACATTGATAGAGGCCTCTGATTCTTTCGGGGATGGAGCCAGACGCGGGTGCCCCAACCCGAGGAAGGAGGGGGTAGAGGACGGGGAGGATGGGTAGAGGTTCCAGCAGAAGGGTTTATCAAGATTACGAGGATTCTTAGGTAGCACACCCAAAGCACAAGCCAGCAAAGGAAAATAGATCAACCCGACTCCATAAAATGTAAGACTTTTCTTCTGCAAAGGCCACTCTTAAGAGACGCGAGGCACAGTGGCTCACACCTCTAATACACAGCACTTTGGGAGGTCAGGCCAGAAGGATCACTTGAGCCCAGGAGTTCAGGACCAGCCTGGACAACACAGTGAGACCTTGTCTATACAAAAAATATTTAAAAATCAGCCAGGTGTGGTGGTGTGTGCCTGTATAGTCCCAGCCACTGGGGAGGCTGAAGTGGGAGGATCGCTTGAACCCAGGAGTTTGAGGCTGCATTGAGCTATGATTGCATCACTGCACTCCAGTAACAGAAGGAGACTCTATCTCTTATTTTTTTTTAATTGGAGATGCCTTTGTAAAATTTTCCCATTTTAAACAGCCAGGAAAAACAATAATTATTGTTCTGATGCTGAGGTTTTATATTTTAGTAGAAGAACTTAAACTATGATTTGTATTTAAGTCTAACAGGAATAAGAGGTGATGAATAGAAGTAGTCATTGACCTGGGACAAGATCACTTTGAACATGTCACTGTTATACAAAGTGTAATATTTATTTTCAAACAACCACTTTTAAAAAGCAGTTGTGCATATATCCCAAAGAATAAAATGCTAGCTACTAGATTTTGAGAAGCAGAATAAAATATGATACCGAATTACTGAGGGGTGATAAATTTTGGCCGATATGGCTGAGGTGGTTTTAGAGTTTATAGCAATAAAGTTAATCAGGTGATTCTTTTTTTTTTTTTTTTTTAAACCCCAAAAAAAAAAATTTTTTTTTCCCAGAGGAAGAAAGAGGAAGAGGAAGAGGGAGAGAGAACAGGGGTGTTGCTTTATTGCCCGGGCTAGAATGCAGTCTAAAAATGGGTATGCCTGAATTGTGTTTAATAATAGAGACATTAAAAAAAATGAGGGAAGAAAATAATTAACAAGCAGCCAACCAATATTTCATTTAAACCTATAAATAGGTGTGATGTGGTACTGATAAGAGTGTACATTTTGTGTATTTAAAGTGGAGAGTTCTATAAATGTTAATTAAATCTATTTGTTCCCAGATTTGAGTTCAAGTCCTGGATATCAATGTTAACTTTCTGTCTCACTGATCTGTCTAATATTGATGTTGAAGTCTCCCACTATTACTGTGTGGGAGTCCAAGTCTCTTTATAAGTCTTATATATCTGGGTATTCCTGTATTGGGTGCGTATATATTTAGGATCTTTAGCTCTTGTTGTTACATTGATCCTTTTATTATGTAATATCCTTCTTTGCTTCTTTTGATCTTTGTTGCTTTAAAGTCATTTTATCGCAAAAATTGCAACTCCTGCTTTCTATTTATTTATTTTTGATCTCCATTTGGTTGGTAAATTTTTCTCCATCCCTTTGTTTTGAATCTTTGTGTATCCTTGCATGTGAGATGGATCTGGATGTAGCATACCAATGGGTTTTGGCTTTTTTTGCCTGTCTGTGTCTTTGGATTGGGGGATTTAGTTGATTTAAATTTAGAATTAATAACAATATATGTAAGTTTGATACTGCCATTTAATGTTAGCTGGCTGTTTTGCCCATTAGTTGATGCAAGTTCTTAATTATGTTGACGTTCTTTATTTTTTGGTATTTTTTAGAAAGGCTGATACTGGTTGTTCCTTTCTGTTTGTAGTGGTTCTTTCAGAAGCTCTTGTAAAGCAGGCCTGGTGGTGATGAAATCTCTGAGTGCTTGCTTGTTCACAAAAGATTTTATTTTTCCTTCGCTTATGAAGCTTAGTTTGGCTGGATGTAAAATTCTAGGTTGAAAGTTCTTTTCTTTAAGGATGTTGAATATTGGCCCCCACTCTCTTCTGGCTTGTAGAGTTTCTGCTGAGAGATCTGCTGTGAGTCTGATAGGCTTCCCTTTATGGGTAACCTAACCTTTTTCTCTGGCTGCCCTCAGTATTTTCTCTTTCATTTCAACCCTGGTGAATCTGGCGATTATGTGCCTTGAGGTTGGTCTTCTTGAGGAATATCTTTGTGGTGTTCTCTGTATTACCTGGAGTTGATATTGTCCTGCCTTGCTAGGTTGGGAAAGTTTTCCTGAATAATATCCTGAAGCGTATTTTCCAGCTTGGATTGATTCTCTTCGTCACATTCAGGTACACCTATCAAACGTAGATTAGGTCTTTTCACATAGTCCCATATTTCTTGGAGACTTTGCTCGTTCCTTTTTATCCTTTTTTCTCTAATCTTGTCTTTTTGTTTTATTTCATTAACTTGGTCTTCGACCTCTGATATCTTTGTTCTGCTTGATCAATTCGGCTGTTAAAACTTGTGCATAGTTCGCGAAGTTCTCGTGTTGTGTTTTTCAGCTCCATTAATTCACTTATATTCCTCTCTAAATTGTGTGTTATTGTTAACATTTCGTCAAATCTTTTTTCAAATTTCTTAGTTTCTTTACATTGGGTTAGAACAAGCTCTTTTAATTCCCAGAAGTTTCTTATCATCCACTTTTTTCCCCCCATTTATTTATTTTATTGCATTTTACGTTCTGGGGTACATGTGAAGAACATGCAAAATTGTTGCATAGGTACACACGTGACAGTGTGATTTGCTGCCTTCCTCCCCATCACCTACATCTGGCATTTCTCCCCTTGCTATCTCTCCCAGCTCCCCACCCCCCACCGTCCCTCCCCTATTTCCCCCCAACTGCCCCCAGTGTGTAGTGCTCCCCTCCCTGTGTCCATATGTTCTCATTGTTCAACACCCATCCATGGGGGAGAACATGCGGTGTTTGATCTTCTGCTCTTCTGTCAATTTGCTGAGAATGATGGTCTTCAGGTTCATCCATGTCCCTACAAAGGACCCAAACTCAT